AATTGTTCTCCACTTTGCTGCATCCTGTTGTTGTTCTGTCTGATGCTTCCACACTTGTGATGTATGCATTAGCCTTTGGATGTTTTATGTCTCTAGCTTCAGTGTGTTTCAAGGCATTAAATGATGTTATGGGATTGCATGCAACTTCCGCTTCTTGTGTAACAAAGTCAGCAAATTGTTTGAAGCTTGGATATTCTTCTGTTTGCCGTAACTGCACTGTGACATGACGATTCCAACGAGAAGTCACCCAGTCAGGAAGTTTTCGGAGCAATTTTTGATTCTCTTCACAGTCATTTAACACCTGCAGTTCTTTGATGTATGGCATAGCATTGCTGCAGGCTGTCAGAAAATCACTGAAATGTCTCAGTTTAAGCGACTCTCTTGAAACAATCTTTGGCCAGTTGTTCAGTTTTTCCCTAAATGCACGCTGAATTACAAAGGGGTGACCATACCGAGCATTCAAAGCTTCCCAAGCTTGGTCATATGCTTGATCATCTTTTCTGTAAAAGCTTCCCTCCAATACAGACCGTGCTTCTCCACTGATGTATTTGCGTAGGTAGAACAACCTGTCGGCTGGATTTGTGCATCGCCGTTCTATCAAAGCTTTGAAACTAGTGCTCCACTCTAAGAACTTAAGTGGGTCCCCTGAGAAGACTGGTGGTTCAGGTGCAGGAAGTCTGGTGAGGACCATTGTGTCATGCAATGCTTTCATTAACAATGACTCATTGTTATTATTGTTTGGTTGTTCATTGTTATTATTCTTGTAGGTTTGCTCTGGTACGATTTCTTCAGGAGCTAACGGAGGACAACTGACTACCTCACTGTGTGCACTTTTGACTTCTCCACAGACTTCACTTGAATCTGCTTGAGAATAAGCTTTTAGCTTTGCAGTTATTACCTGAAGATCTCGCTGATTTTCTAGTCTTTTAAGCTCTTGCCTTTGTGTAGCAATAGCCTCCTCCATTTCTATCTCGGCCTGCTTCGCGGCAAGCTGTGCAGCACACTCTGCCTTTTTTACATTGATGCTTTGCTGCTCCGATAAACAGCTTGAGCGGTGGCTACGTACTGAAGGTCGGGAGATTGTAGTCCCAAATATTGACTGAGCATATTCTCTGTCTAGCACCATGTGAAGTCTTGCATTTTCTGCCTTAGCATCAAACTCTTCTATCCCCACTTCGCTCATACGTACTTTAAGTATTCTCATCAAGTCCGCTGTTACTGCTGTGCAGGAATCAATTTTTCTTCTAGTCTCAGTAGAAGGGGCTGACTGCGGTCTTATATCTTCGTATGTATTTTTCACTTGTGACTCCAGCCCTTCGACAGTATCCATCATGTCAGCTAATTCCTGGTCAGAGCACTCTTCTTTAAGTTTGGAACGTGTAACTTTAACTTGTTCTTTCCAGGTTTCATATAGTTTGATAAATTTACTCTCCTTCTGAGAAAACTCTTGTTGCTTAAGTTCTAACATTTTGGGTGTTAACTTTCGCTCCCTTGAGGATTTCCTGGGCTCTAGTCTTGAAGTATTAGTGGCAGGCTTCTGCTTTATTTCTATTTTCGCATGAATATCACCTATGAGTAACTCCAATTTCTCCCTTTCAACATCATCAATCTGTAATTTCAATTGTTCATTCAATCTACTTAGCTCTTCCTTAAGGGAATCCATTTGTTCTCAGAATTCTTCAATATGTGATTTTTCTGTGTTTACTGACATTGCACATGTTTCAGCAAACCTGCTGCATAACAAGTCGTTGCTATATGTATATGCGATCCTGGCAAACATATAATTCTCAATACAATCTGATTCTTGCAACAATTTTTCTTAACAACACCCCTTGTTAGTCTTCCTTTAAGTTGAACTCTTAAACATCATTAGAACACTTTAAACAACACCACTTGTAAATTAAAGGGGAACAGTTTGGCTATGACAGGCTGGTTACCTTTAACTCAGTGCCTTTCTCATACAAAATAAATTATTTTAATAGACCTCTCCAAACTTTACTAACAGCTGTGGATATATCACAGCCCAACCTGACGTTGACTGCAGAGCCGTTATCTTTTCCTTGAAGACGGGGGATTATACAGTTTTTGCTGTGTGCAACGGCAGAGTTGCAGACGGTTGCAGAGCGGTAGTTTATGATGGTCAATGTCGCCCTCTATTGGTGAAGTCGTGGTCGTTGCCGTCCAAAGCGCCAATAATGATGTTTCCTCTTTCCGAGTTTGCAAGCCTCCTTTCGGCTGTGTTCTCGAACCACACACACTGCGCTGTCACGAACCTTTCTTCTTTTCTTATTCTGGAACATTCACTGCTTCTAACGTTGAACTTCCAGGCACGTTGGCGGTACGTTTTCACTGTAACTACAGGGGTCCAACAAAGAATGGCCACGCATCATACTGATGTCTTCGGATGTTTATTTTGCTCTCTCTCTCTCTCTCTCTCCCTCTCTCTATTATCTTCAGACACCGTGAAAACTGAAGAAACACAAATTTTACACCATAACTGTTTTAACTTATCAGTCTCTCATATCATTGTCCATAACAGTCTCGTGCAAGCAGAACAGAAAGAAAATGCGCAATAATGAATCACAAAAATGTCCTCTCATTACCAGTGTAGAACACATATGCAACATTATACAAACATTATACATGAAACCATACCGTGTGCGCCTCTTGGACCACATGCAGAATGACATTAACGTCGAGGCTGTAGACGCATCTGTAGCCATGTATCCATGCTATGGTTGCTATGGTAGCGCTGTCAAACAAACTCTGATCATGTGACCATTACAAAGTCTACCCCCTACAAACTTTACAGCACGTTACATATTTAACAAACCCATATTTTGTAATCACATATTTTTAGACATGTTTTTTAAATCAATGTTACACTTTTATCATCTTATCTAGTAATTAAATGAACCAAATTAAGCATCTCTCTATCACAGAAACATTTGAAATAAACAACTTTATTTTAACTGTCTCAGGGACAGTTACATAGATTCTACATTATTTTTTATGGAATTTACCTCTAATATTTTGATGCCAAAAAATTATTCTGGACTGATATTTTGCACTGTTTAGCTCATTTTACACCACTGACTGTGTTCATGTGCAATAAAATAGATTGCAGTCAACTGCACAATTCTCTTATGTTTTTCTTTTTCTTAACTGAAATGTATTCATCACTTGTATAGGTTAAATAGCTAAACAATAACAAACCGATTAATCGAAAAAATAATCGACAGATTAATCGATTATGAAAATAATCGTTAGTTGCAGCCCTACACGTGCAGAAAAAGTGTCTGTGAAAGGCAGCAACAACTCATGACCATCGCCCACAACTCTACAGTCAATGGAAGGCAAGTTAGGGTTAGCGTTTTAGCTGAAATGCGTGATGTGAGGACTTTGAGTTGAGGAAGACTCAAAGTCCACTGACAGCATGTAAACCGTGTTGCAGACACCTTAGGGGACAGATATGAGCAACAAATTGACTCTCGCAGCATTATTATGAATTTAACAATGATTACTGTCTGATGACATTTTCCCAAATCTGCAAAGCTCACTGGAAGGACACAAACCGAGGACAACTATCCTGATATGGAGGGCCACTGTCACCTTTGGTCTAACACTAACCCTGGACCTCAGGGGCCTGCTGTGGGGCCCTATAGACCAGAACCAGGATCTTGAAATGAACCCTGAAGTTGACTGGCAGCCAGTGAAGCTGGAGGAGAAGCGGGGTGATGTGGGTGTGTTTGGAGGACTTGGTCAGAAGCCGAGCACAGGCGTTCTGAACCACCTGTAGACGGTTCAGGGAGGTTCTGCTCAGACACGTGAAAAGAGAGTTACAGTAGTCTAAACGTGAGGAGATGAAGGTGTGGAGAACTGTCTCAAGTTCAGAGCGAGACAGAATAGGACTCAGCTTAGCAACGTTCCTGAGATGGAAGAAGGAAGAGCCAACAAGAGAACTGACATGAGAATCCAGGGTGAGAGCTGGGTCAAATGTCACGCCAAGATTCCTGACAGAAGGTTTGGTGTAAGAAGCAAGCTGACCAAGAGAGTCTCTGACTATGGGAACCAGCTTGTTTGGGGCACAGATGAGGATCTCAGTCTTATCTTCATTCAGCTGTAGAAAGCTCCCACCATCCAGGTTTTGATAGAGTCTAAGCAGGTGTGTAACAGCTGCAGCTTAGACGTCTCATGGGGCTTAAAGGAGATGTACAGTTGGATGTCATCTGCATAAAGATGGTTAGTCTGGCCTGCCAGACTCTTCCTGTTTAATTCTGCACAGAGAAAGAGTCTGGTAACTCTCACCATGGGTGGTGCCAGGCGGTAGCTAGTGTTTGCTAAAGCAACCCCAAGATTGGGCCAAGCAACGGCTTGGCAACCCAAACTCTTGAATGCACCACCCCACGTGCGCTCTGTGCCGACATGCGCTGACCTGAAGAGTAGCATGACCACTAACCACTAAATGAGTAATAAGTATAATCTGATCTCATATTTTTAAAATGATGACATCAAACAGACAAAAAATAAGAAGTTATGGGAAAATTCTGGTATTTTAAAGACAAAGGGGAAAAATGTAAACAAACAACATGATTACAAAATAACAAATTTTAGACATAAACTGATGACATTTTCCTGATATAGAGGGTTTAGTTAGTTAACACGTTAAAAAAATGCCGCGATAATAATGAAAACCATGATAACTTTGGTCACAATAACCGCGAGGTTACATTTTCACACCGTGACAACTCTATTATGTTCCAGTCATGAGTCATTTATATTTCAGTATGCTAATGTTTCTTGCATTGCATCATGGGAATTTTGGGCAAGAAATTATGTATTTTACTTATAATTTGGTTGGTTTACTTACTAATTGTGACCACTTACAAAACATTACAATCAATGTATCGAAATATGATTATGATTCATTGAAGAAGCAAGCCATAACCAATTATAGTGGAATGCAGTTTTGTTTTTTTTACCGCAGCACCAGCGTTAGATCCAAACTTAAAATATAGTCAGGATTCTAAAATTAACTCTAAAGTTAACGGGTAACCAGTGCAGAGACGTTAGAATAGGAGTGATGTGAGCTCTTCCGTTTGCTCCAGTTAGGAGCCTCGCTGCACATTTGCCTTTTATTTGACTAAAGTCGTCACATAAAAGGCAGCCCTAAAATAAAGCTGATTTGCCTAAAATGAGCAGTTTCAAGAAGTCCCTTATTGTGACATCACAGTAAGGAAAACAAACATAGCACAACCCCTCACCTGTTGACCCCGGAGCAACAGCAGCTCTGATCTCAGCCTCAGGAAACAGTGGCAAAAGGAGTTGGTGTCTGTCTGGTTCTGCTTCATCGTGGTCTCTTTCCTCACCAGCAGGAGTCACAAGGGAGGTCACCGTCTCCTGCTTCAGTACACACTGCTCTTCATCCTGACTGATGCAGAGCTCCTCTTGTTTTACAATCTGCAAAGGTTCTGGCTCATCCTGCTCCACTTTCATCTGTGGAGGTTCTGGTCCCTCCTGTAAAGGTTCTGCTTGTTCCTGCTCCAAACTGGAGGTCCTCTCCTGGTTCCAGAGCTGCTGGTCAGTCAGAACCTCCTCATCTGTCCTGACATAATGCAGTGGGAGTTCTGGACAGACAAACAGACCAAACAAAAAGCTGAGTCATGTGACAATAAGAAAGCACACTTCACTTGAACCATCTGATGCATCTGAAGATGTTTTAGAAAACAATGAACTCTTAACCTGTGTGTGTGTGTGTGTGTGTGTGTGTGTGTGTGTGTGTGTGTGTGACTGGACTGACTCGTTTAACAAGTCTCTGATTGTAGAACATCAGCTGGAAACGTTCACCAAGTCTTTAAAGTTTGTCTCTTTTAAACTGATTTAGAGGAGTTCCTGAAAATGAAAACTTCCTAAAATCCCTGAAATGTTATTGATTTGTTTCTCTAAAGTGGAACAAAGTTTACCGCAGACTGATTTCAGCTCAGTTGTGTCAAAAAGCTTCAGAACAGCAAACGGATCCAAGCAGACTGTCCTGAGATTGTGTCCTCAGTAAAACCACATGAGTCCCGCTGCTGTTTCATACCTATTCTGTGTAAGTTGATCTGTGGTTTCCAGCTGATCTCCAGCAGTCTGCGCTGACGATCGATCTCTTCCTCGTAGCGGACGATGGTTTTTTCAAACTCGGAGAAGATTTCTGCAGCAGCAGCAGTTAGCCGCTCTCTGATCACCTCTCTCAGAGACTGAGCTGAAGACATTGTTGCTGCAGAGCCTCAGAGGTTCCCCTCGCACACCAGCACAGCAAGCTAGCGCTGGTAGCTAACAACAAGCTAGCTCTGATAACAGCTTCCGGTCATGTGGCAGCGTGAAGGCGCGTTAGCGCCACGTACTGGACTGGAGTTGGACCAGCAACAACAAGGAAGAGATGAAGGTTTTTTTTTTATTTTTATTGAACATCAATCACATTAAATTGTAACAACAACCAAAAACTCAACAAAAACAAAAAGAACAATTCAGTAGATAACCCAAAACCTTATAACTAGACCATTAGAAATATTCTAATCAGCAGAAACAACCGGAGTTATAAGATTAACAAGACACGATAAAGAAATAAAAATAAAATAAATACAATATTAATATTAATACTACTAATAATAACACAATAATAAAAATACATATTTAAAGACAGAGGACCTTAGTTCACAGGATCTTCACTAAATCTGACAAGTGTAGCAGCCTGTACAGTCTTTACTTTTTTAAGAGATTTGCAAAATAGCATAAAATCGTTTTGGAAAAAAGGAAAGTTTGGCTTCACTTTCATAAAACGGCATTTGTGAATAAAAATTTTCCCAAAAATTATCAAATTGTTAACAACGAATTGAATCTGATTATTTTTTTCTATACACCCAAATTGAATAGTATTATATGTGAATAAGGGGATATTGTAACTCTTTTTGAATAAAAGCCAATTGTATAAATCTAACCAAAATGTATTTACCGATCTGCAATCATAGAAAAGGTGTTTCTGAGTTTCAATTTCACTATTACATAGGACACATAAATTATCTTGTATATTAAATTTGATATTTAAAAATTCTTTACATGGATATATATTATTAATCGTTTTAAAGTGAACTTCCTTCATTTTGGGGAGAAGAGGGTAAGAAAGAAACTCTGTTCTTATGACTTTAGTATCTATAATTGAGAAAATCGGAGAAAGAACTTTCCTTCTGACAGGAATAGGGAATAACTTGTTTGACAAGACTGCTCTTAGGTAAGAGTTATTACATTTACGGTCTGTAAAACTCAAATCACCTATAGATAATTTGGGAAGCTTAGGTGTATTTGTTCCATGTTGAATACTTTGACTGACCATCTGGCCAACAGCTGGAGAAATAGCCTTTATAACTCTAGAGTATTCCAATACAGAACAGTCTAGATTATACTTAATTTTGAACTCAGTATGCTCCGGAAACTTACCCTTACTGTCCATCAGCTGCATTATGGCCCAAACTCCTTTATCCATCCAACTTTTATAATACATGGATTTCCGTTTATACAGAACAAATCTGTTATTCCATATAGAGGAGGAATGTGGGCTAAAGTTGTGCGAGTAGATCATTTTCCAGTACATCAACACTTGTTTAATATAGTTAGAAAGTTTGATGGGTAATTTAAGAGGATCAAAATCACATTTTAACAGAAAATCTATACCTCCAATCTTCTCAAACAGAAATGAAGGAATACAAAACCAGATAGAATCTTTCTTAATTAAAATTTTTTTTATTTTTTTTAGCCATTGTAATTTAATAACTCCATTCATTACTTCAAAGTCAATGACTTTCAGACCTCCTTCTTCTATAGGTTTTACGAGATCGTTTTTCCTAATCAAATGTTGTTTATTATTCCAAATAAAATCATATTGTGTTTTATTTATTCTCTTAACATAATGGTCAGGGATAGCTACTGAAAAAGCAGGATAGATTAATCTAGATATGCTCTCCATTTTTGTTAAAAGTATTCTACCAAAAATTGATATATTTCTTTGGAGCCAACTATTTAGAATCTTTTGATTTTTATTAATTATCGGTTGAATATTGTTATCCACTCTCTCCTTAAAGATTTTATTAATCTTCATACCCAAATACTTAATTTCATTCTTAATAGGGATATTGCAAATATGAAACTCCTCAGTATCATGAATTGTTAATATTTCACATTTGTTAGCGTTCAACCTTAAACCTGAGGCTTGTGAGAACAAAGACAGCGTTTTCATGGCATTAGGAATTTCCTTGGTACTATTCAACAATAATGCAGTATCATCTGCTAGTTGAATTATTTTAAGCGAGTGTCCTGCCACTGTTAACGGTTTAATTGATTGGTCATTTTGAATTAGTAAAGTCAGCATTTCTGTTGCTATAATAAAAAGAAGTGGACTAATAGGATCTCCTTGTCTAACTCCTCTATTAACTGGAAATCTGGCTGTCGTACCCGAAGAAAGAAGAACTGCACTCGATATATCTTTGTATAGGAATGTAATAATATCAATGAATTTTTTACCAAATCCAAAGTGCTGAAGTGACTTTATAATAAAATGATGTTCGAGGCTATCAAAAGCTTTATAAAAATCTAAGAACAGTATAGCCCCATCCTCTTCTACCAAATTTTCATAATCTAATAAATCAAGAATCAAACGGACGTTGTCATGAATATGTCTATTTGGAAGAAAACCTGATTGAGTTTCACTAATGAAATCATTTATTCCATTTTTTAATCTGTTAGCCAGTGTATGAGTGAATAATTTATAGTCCACATTCAGCAATGTAATAGGTCTTAAGTTATCAATATTAGATTTATCTTTGTTGGGTTTAGGTATCAGTATTATTACTCCTTGTTTCATCGTAGTTAAGAGTGAATTATTCCGAATACATTCTTGTAAAACTTCAAATAGTAGCTCTCTAATATCTTTCCAAAAGAATTTATAAAAGTTTGTGGTTAGACCGTCCTGGCCAGGAGACTTACCCAGTGCTACCTTTTGAATCACCTTGTCAAGTTCAGAAATATTCAAATCCATATCACATTCTTCTTTAAATTCTAAATTAATTTGAGGGATAAATCTTTCAATGTAATTAAATAATTTTACGGAATCCAATTCTTTGAAGTGAGAAGAGTATAACTGATGGTAAAAATTATAAATACTGAATGAAATTTCTCTTTGATCTTTAATTAACTTACCATTAATATTTAGTGAATTTATCGCATTTTTTATCTGTCTATTTTTCTCTAATTTACTAAAATATGAGCTATTCCTCTCTCCATCTTCTATCCATTTTGCCCTTGACCGAATGAAAGCTCCTTTAGCCTTATTTAAATAAAGCTCGTCCAGTTTTGATTGAAGTTTTAAATATTTCTCTCTATTCGTATCTGAAAGTGTACAATCTCCGCAAAGTTTATTCAAATCCCTAAACAATTGTCTTTCTGTTTCTTTATTGTTTTTCCTCCTTTTTTTAACCATAATTAATAGAATATTTTCTGACTTCATATTTGAAGAATTCCCATTTCTTCCCTGCAGAATCAAGATGAGGATTTTCTATGACAGACAATAATAGTTTCTTAATCATTTTACAGTATTCCTCATCATTCAAAAATAACACATTAAATTTCCAGTATCCGTTTCTACTTATATTTCCTGTCTTAGGAATTAAGTTTATAGAAACTACACAATGATCCGTAACAGGGGCTGCCGATATTTCAGCAAGAGAGATCTGGTCTAAAATAGCTTGAGATACAAGCCATAAATCAATTCTTGACTTATTATTACCATTTGTACGTATCCATGAAAATTGTCTAACACACGGGTTAATATGTCTCCAAGCGTCTGACAGCGAGTTGTTTACACAAAAACTTCTCAATGTTGGATTATAAACATGTGTAGAGAATCTAGTGGGATATCTATCCATCCATTCATCAGGAACACGTTAAAGTCCCCTCCAACCAATATATTATCTGTTGGATATTTAACTTTGGATTCTCCAATAATTTTTGAAATTTCATTTAAGAATATTTTGTTTTCTGTAATCAAATTATATCCGTAAACATTACAAATAATCCACAAAACACCCTCACAATTCAAAACAGCAACTATCCAATGACCCTTTGAGTCTGCTTTATATTCCACAAGCTTACCCGGATAGTTGTTAAAACAGATCGCCACCCCTCCAGATTTGTTGGATCCATGACTAAGAAGGATGCTGTCTCCCCATTGAGTCTTCCAGAATGCCTGTCGTCTTCACACGAATGAGTCTCTTGAAGAAATATAACTTGTGCTTTTTGTTCCTTACAGAATAGAAATAATGTCTTTCTTTTGGTAATGTCCTTTAGTCCTCTTGCGTTTAATGAAATAAAAGATATTCTTGAACTCATAAGGAATTCAAAACAGATCTAAACCCAAAAAGCAAAAACGTGAACAAAACAAACAAATAATTAGATAAACAACAAACAAACCCTAAATTAGACATAACAGGAATGTAAGAAAACTAGCTTAGCTTAGTGATTAGAAGAACTGTCCCTCTAAATGACTTCACCACTCATTCGGAAAGCCGTCCCCATCACCTTCTTCAGGGGAAAATCTGGGTGTTTTCAATAAATGCAAACGGTCCTCTGAAGTATGCTCTCTTGTTCTTCTCCCGCGCCTCCTTCACCTTCGGCCACAGCAGCCTTCTCGCTTCTCTGTCTTCCTGAATCAGATCTTCTGCAAATCTTAGACCATTTTTCTTGCAGACATCACAGTTCTTGGAAAGCTTCCAGATGAGGTCTCTGCACTCTCTCTTCACGAATTGAATAATTACTTGCCTTGTATGGAGAGCATCTTTTTTCCCGATACGATGCACCGTGTCCACCATATCCTGGAAGCTCCACGGGACTCCCGGGGCGATTTTGTTCAGAATAGCAGTTACAGTGCCTTTTATGTCTTCGTTGTCTTTTTCACTTACACCCTTAAGTCGTAGGTTCCATCTCCTCTTATATCTTTCTTGTTCCTTACACTTTTCTTTTGTTGCAAGCAACTCCTCTCGTACTTTAACCAGTTCACTTTCCAGCAGCGTTGTTTTGCTCTTATTCTCCGCGACTTCTTTCTTTAGCTCTGTTAGCATGCTATGCTGTTCCTCCATCTTGGTGGCTAAACTTTCCAGTTTGTTTTCTTGCATATCAAATCTGTCAGACAGGTTGGTTACCGCATTTAAAATCTTTATCAGTGTAGAGTCCCCATCTTCTGTTTCTTTATCCTCCTCTGTCCTATTTTTCTTCTTGGACTGCACCTGAG